TTTCTCAAAAGAAGGCATACAAATGGCAACAGGCATATGAAAAAATTTTCAACATCACTAGTCATCAGAGAAATGCAAATCAAAACTCTAATGAGATATCATCTCACCCCAGTTAAAATAGCTGTGATCAGAGAAAGAAACTAAATGCTGGAGAGGATGTGGAGAGCAGGAAACACTTACTCACTGTTGGCGGGAATGTAAATGGGTACAGCCACCGTGGAAAACAGTATGGGAGCTTCTTCAAAAATCTCTTTAAAAAATTAAAAGAGTAAATTTTATGGTGTGTGAAACAAATCTCAATACAAATAATTTTACAAGCTAACCAGTGATGTAAGTCAGCCCACAAGAGCTAAATAGTAGTATAATGTCCTAGTACATAGGACAAAATAATTGCTCAATAATATAGCACAGGCGGAAGCTCAATAAATTTGGAGTATTAGAAGAAAACCTCTTGGAATAAGAAGGATTTGAGATGAATCTTAGCGAATAGGCAGAAATTAGTAAGAGAGAAAAAAGAGAAGAATATTCCGTGTAGGGGAACAATACCTGAACAAGATGAAAACAGAAACATTCTGTTTGTGTTCAGGAGCAATAATTGAATAACCAGGCTGGACTGTGGCTAATTTGGGGTGTAATGAGAAGGCAGTAGAGAAAAGTTAAAACAATACCATGCAGGATCTTAAACGTCCATGGCATCTGGACTTTAATTGGTAAGCACTGGAGAATCATTCAAGGTGTCTAAGTAGGGATGTAACAATTCCAATTAATCGTTTATAAAACAAGTGAAACAGCAGGCGCAAATGAGAAACTAGACCTAAATTGAAGACCAGAAAGAAGAGGAGAGTTGGATTTTAGAGACATTTTAGAGTAGACAAAACTTAAAGTGCATGAGGAACTTCACTAGATACAAAAAGTGAAAAAAGAAGAAATCAAATACATCTCTCAGCTGTGAGTATGGAGAATGGGGTGCAAAGGGAGATAGACAGGAAGCTGAAAAGGAGGTGTATGGGAATTGGACCACGGGCTCAGATTGGACCAGCTCTATAGTTTTACATTGCAGATAGGAGATCATTCTGAAATAATTTGTAAATACCCAGACATACAGGCTTGGAAATCAGATGAGTAAGCAGGATTGAAAATGCAATTACATGAATTAGTGACCTAAAATTGATAGACTGAGTTATGGGAATGGATGAGAGTTTTGCGGGGAAGGTGACGCTTTGTAAGGAATGTGCACATTTGGTTGTCAGAAAAAGTGAAACTAGTGAAGATGAAATTGTGTATGTCTAAGAAAGTAGGAGAGAGAGTTAAGAGTGTCCCATCTTGGAAGCTAAGGAAGGGCATGTGTCTCAAAAGGCAAGGAAGCAACAGGGAAGTGTTGTTAAAAACAGATTGCACAGAATGAGAATTGAATAGAATCCACTGGTTTCAACAATTAAGAAGTCATTGGCAGCATTTGGGGGAAACAATTTTAGAGAAGTGTTAGAGAGAAAAGACAGACCGTAATTCACTGAAAAATGAACGCCATATGAAAGCATTCAAACTTGAAAGCAGACTGTTTTTGAGATGTTTGGTTGTAAAGGAGAGGAGAGAGAGAATTCAGTGGTCTGCAGGAGCATCTAGGCAAGCAACTACCTCAGGATGGTGGGAGGTCTAAAGCCTACAGGCACAGCTAGATTAAAAGGGTTACATTCATTCAGCAAATTCAACAAATTCAGCTTACCATGTGCTTGGTACTAAGTGCTGTGTATATAGGAGTAAACAACGTAGACAAGAATTCCTGCGTTGGTGAAGTGTACAGATTTTAGATGCATTAGTCTCCATCTCACTAGTGAGCAGTCAAGAGGATGGTACAGTTTAGACACTTCTGTTCACTTAGAGCTAAGGTTCAGTCATGTCACTTATAATAACTCCTTGACAATTGGGTGTTGTAAAATGTTCTTCAAAGCAATTCTTGCTCATCTTTGACGGGAACAACCACAACAGCCAATAGAGTAGCAACAAATCTGTGAGGTGCAGCATCAGTGACAAGAGCGATATTGCTCCATGGACCAGGTGAGATCAAGGAAAAGAGAAGTCCCCAGCCCTAAAGCATCAGAAAGCTCTCAATGCGTAAATAGCTCTGGCACCATTTTTCATCATCTTCTGCAGTGACAGAGTTGCCCAGAGATTTATCCACAACTTTCTGTACTTTTATCTTTATAGGAAATGAAACTTGTTGAAGTCACGCTTTTGCGTTTTGCAGGAAACAGCTGCAGTGAATCAGAGTTGATGACAGGAGCAAGGCATCACGAGATGACAGAAAACTTTAAGACATTACATGAGACACACAATTTTTCTTCTTTTAAATAAACTTGAATTAGGTGTTTGTCAAAAAAAAAAAAAAATAACCTAAGAACCATCTAGGATATACTATTTTGCAGGTCTTTTGTTTGCCAATGCGGAACTGAGAGATTCTCTTAAAGACTTTTTCTTTCCTGAGTTCTCTTGAAAATGTTTAATTACGAAAATTCTGAGAAAGACAAATTCAAAAACAGGCTCTCATTGAACGGGACAAAATGAAGTACAGTTCAGCAGAATTGAGTTTTCTGCAGGCGTTTAGCATTCTAACCTAGGATGCATGCTATTTTTTAAATCACTAATTTTCAAGGCAGCTGTACTGATAAAAGAAAAACTTCAACCAAATTAAATGTAAAGGAGTTTAATTGAGCAATGAACCACGCGCGAATGGGGCCACCTCCTCGAGCCAGAGGCTCAGAGACTCCAGCACAGTCACGTGATGGAAGATTTATGAACAGAAAAAGAAAGGTGATGTACGGGAAAAGAAAAGTGACGTACAGAAAATGGAAATAAGGTAGAGAAACAGCTGGATTGGTTATAGGTTGGCGTTTACCTTATTTGATCACTGTTCGAACAGTTGACTACATTTGATTGATCAAAACTTAGTGGCCGGCACAAGTGTAGGTGACCATCTGTTTACATCTCCACTTGTTATAGTTCATGATGTAAAGAAAAACCTTTAGGCCAACCTTAAAATATGTAAGGAGGCGGGCTGGGCACGGTGGCTCGTGCCTGTAATCCCAGCACTTTGGGAGGCTGAGGTAGGCGGATCACAAGGTCAGGAGACTGAGACTATCCTGGCTGACATGCTGAAACCCCGTCTCTATTAAAAATACAAAAAATTAGCTGGGTGTGGTGGTGGGTGCCTGTAGTCCCAGCTATTCGGGAGGCTAGGCAAGAGAATGGCCTGAACCCGGGAGGCGGAGCTTGCAGTGAGCCAAGGTCATGCCACTGCACTCCAGCCTGGGTGACAGAGCGAGACTCTGTCTCAACAACAACAAAAAAAATGTAAGGAGGCAGCTTTAGGGTAGACTTGATTTAATTGGAATTATCTGGGGACTTTTTAAAAATCGCAATGCCTAATGCTAGCCCAGAGATTCTAATAATTACATCTGGGCTCAGTTTAGGCAGTAGGGCTTTGGAAAACTCTCACTTCATGCTAATGTGCATCCATTTGGTAACCCCTATTCTAAATTCCTTCTGGGGAGTCCAAAGTATACCAAACCTCAAAACCCAAACAGTGTGGAGTAAAGTTGTGTTCTTCTTTCTTTCCTTTACTTCCTTTCTTCTCTTTTTCTCTTCCTTCCTATTTTTCCTTGTTTTTTTTTTTTTTTTTTTTTTTTTTTTAAAGAACAATGTTATCTATTTTTTCATTGGTTGCTTGTGCCTCTGGTGTCATATTTAAGAACTCATTACCTTTTCAAGGTAACAAAATGTGTACCTATGTTTTCTCCTAAGAAGTTTATAGTGTTACCTCCTACATTTAGGCCTCCATTTTAATTTTTGTGTATGGTGTGAGGTAGGTGTCCAATTTTATTCTTTTGCATATGGCTCTCCAGTTGTCCCACCACAGTTTGTTGAAAAGATTGTTCTTTTCCCATTGAGTTTTCTTGGACCTTTATTGATTATCTTTTAATACATATGCTTATATCATTCTCAATTAGGCACTAAGATTTTTGAGATCAGGGAGCTTCTCCTATCTTTATCCGTACCCCTCCATACTTAACAAAATGCTTTACCCATAACAGGTACCTGATTAACTAATTTCTCTTTCTCCAGCCCTAAGAGGAGACAATTTATTTATTCTTGCTCAGCATTTTGCACTGCTGAGTAGGCGGGGGTCAATAGAGGATAATTGTAACTTTGCCATCACATGATTCTGTCATGTTCATTTGTTACTTGGTACTTTTTAGCTCAGAACACACAACCAAGTATTCCATAAAAGGAAAGTCACTGAAGTATCGAAGACTTAACCTATGAAAATTTCAGATTTGAACCCCTCCATCAGTGTTTTATGTTATACACCAAGAATTTAAAACAAATCAAATTTCTTAAATGAACTCATACTAAATGAATCTGAAGTAACTATTTCTGTGTTTTGAATCTTTGACTATTCTCTTGTCAAAGTGAAATTAAAAATAAATTTTCTGGGTTTTAACAGGTGCTAGTACTTCCTACTGGTCGACATTGACAAGACTTTAAATGTAAAGCTACATTTTGAATAATAAGAGGAAACATGTATCTTGCTCATTGTTTCTGTGCTCCAAAAGTGATGTGTAAAAAGAAAGAAAATACCCTACATATCCAATAATAGAGGAATGGTAAATTTATATTGATTCATGAAATCCTAAATTGAAATTAAGTGATGTTTATGAAATTATATATCCATAAGGAAAAATCTATGATATGCTGTTACATGTAAAAAGCAAATATTATGCAGTGGTTGTAACTGAGTAAACTTATCTATTACTATGAAGTAGGATAATCAACCATCCTGTTTGCCTGGGACTATCTTGGTTTTAAGATCGAAAATCTTGTATCCCAGAAAAATCCCTCAGATTCAGACAAACTGGGATGGTTTATCACCTTATTATAAACAAAGATTATAAGACAACCAGAAGAAAATGAAAAGAAGTTATGTCAGCCTCCTAGTCAATGAGTGCAATTGGGTTTTCAAAGCTTATTTCCTTTGTGGATATAATATTATTTTTACAAAAATACAAATTGAGAGGAAAAACTAAGACTGGAGAATATATCTTCCACTTCTTGGCAAAGCATGTTTACTACTGGCCAATGCTATTATTTGACTCTATATTGCCAAAGGGATCATCGGAGAGAAGGTCATAGGAATTTTCATTCTTCTTTAATAGTAGACATTAAAGATGTCCCCTATTTTAAGAACTTATGTGAGGTCAGCCAAAACTAATTATTTGAGGTTGTACAAATGACTCAAAATTCTTGGAGAAACCATGGATTTGGAGAGGAATCGTCATATATATTTCAGAAATGGAGAAAAAAATAAGATGGAAATAACATCTTGTATTTTTTTTTAAAGATTTCTGACTTTCATTTTTTTTCTCAGGCCTGCCCCTACCATGCCCTATCCTACTTCTCTCATATATTTCAGTCATCTGGAGTTCTGGGAGTAAGGAATCCATTATCAATGACCTATCCCATGAACATTTTCTTTGGGAACCTGTGTAAGACTATATAGACATGAATATTTGATGACCTGACACCTCACAGTTCAAACCTAGATTGGGGTTTTGTAAATATGAACTCAAGGCTATAAGAGCCTCCCATGGTCTAATGTTTCAAGAGTAAAGAAGAATAGGCAAACACCCATGTTGGAATCATCTGTTGCAGAAAAGAGCACAAAGATAATTTTATTAATTTAGAACGAATTTTGAGAACTTTACATAGAAATGTTCTATATCCTTTTTTTTTCTAATTTTGAGGAATGTCTTCCACTAGTGGTCTCTAAAAATGTAGAAATATCACAGGGAGTGCAAATTACATTGTCTCTTTACCTGCCACAATCTGGCAGCACTCATCATGTAGCAAATGCCCAAATAATAGACTACAGATTATAGTGACCTCACCCTAGGTTAACATTATTTCTAAGTAAGGTACTAATATATCTGAATTGAAAAGTAAGGCAGCTATTGACTCAGATTTGGCATTTTAATTACATTGTTTCCGAGTAGGATATTCTGAGAATGTCTATAGCACTTAGTGTCTGCTTTATATAAACTACCAGTTAATTATATATTTATGATGCAAGTAGTTTTCCAAATGTGGTAGAAGTCTGAGTCTTTTTATCCCCATAGGTAAAATCTGACTCTGACTCTGTGTGTCTCTCAGTGCTTGTTTAGTGCTGATCAGAGGGTAAGTTCTTGATAAAAGCTGTTGACTTGGCTCTCACAGTTTATGCAGACATTGGAGAGACAATTTGGTTATCTCAAACATCACAGGATTTGAGTAAGAAGACCTCGTTATGAAACAAGGCTCTCGTAATTACTAGTTATGACTGTTGATAAGTTACCTTTTCTTGTTTACAAGTTATTTGACCTCTTTGAATTACTTGTAAAATAGAGATAGGGATGTTTTCTTGATCATGGAACATCAGATGAAGTTATTTGATGAAATACTTTGTCATCTGCAAATTATAAATACAATGAAATGTTGATTATTATTTGAAATTTGGGCACCTCATTGTGGCATTTTCTATGGTCATTTTTTTCTTTTCTTGCATAAGGGCTAAAAGTAGGTAGACATGCAAACAATAGTCTAGAGTGGGAATCAGGAAGAGTTAAGGCAGAGACATGTCCATGTATAAGCTATGTTGTTTTTACAAAAACAGATGGGTGTTGGCCATTTAGAGCTTCCCTCATGGGGTGTGATAACTCTAAGAACATGCCACAATGTCAGCCCTGTAGAAAGATAAATGGAATAGGTTCTGTATTGTCCCTAGTTGTTATTTTTTTAATCGTCCTTAAAACAGTGATGCAAAAGGGACTCCACCAAAAGCATAGATGTGGAAAAAAAAAAAAGATAGTTTAGGAATGTTGTGAAGTAGTCATATATCTTTACCATCAGGTGCAGTCTCCCTGGTTGCTGATGGAGAAAATGAAAAACAACAACAACAAAAAAAACATACTAAAAAGCCTATCCAAGGAACAGGTTAGTAGGAAATCACATTCTGAAGCACTCATTCTGCCTTTCTTCAATGTAAGAAAGTTGCTCAAAAGAAGAATCATAACAACACAAGCTGCTACAGTGGCTACATTCTCTACATTCAGTGTAAGAGAGAAGGGGCTATGGTCACTCCATGCAAACGCCAGATAGAGATGTGCTGGGTATGTGCAGAGTACCTCAAGAAATGAAAGTCAGCGTGTCTCTTGGAAGCTATGAACACTAATGTTTAAAAAAGGAAACAGAAAATAGAAGAAATCATTTAAGGAGAGCTGTCATTTTCTATTGGTGAGGATTCCTGATCTTGGGGAGGTTCTGGAAAGTTTGTCTCTGTTTCTTCTTCTTCCTCTTCTTGGACTGGAATAATTTCAATGTCTTCTTCATTCTTTGGTTGGGAAGATGTTTCAGTTAGCCCAACCACTTCTTCTTTTATTTCAATGACTTGTTCTTTTTTTTCTTCAGCTGACAGGAGAACTACGCTCTAAAACACAAAATTAAACAAACTATTCTTTACTTTTACCATTGACACTTTTGTCAACAATCTCTACAAACATTTATCAAATAGCTCCTGGTTTTTATGCTACTTATTATTATATGCCTTTAAATGCCAGGATTTATTTTGCAGGTGCTTAAATCCTTATCAAATCACTTATTAAAACTCAAGTCTGAGTAAATCTTCAAGGGCAGCAGACATTTACCATAGTGCCTGGAATGACCACGTCGTATTGGGAAAAGAACGTTGCAGTAATAGAGGAGTTTAGATTGTTGTTCTGATTTGCCTTTCGTGAATATAACTCTGGGAGAAGAATTTTCCCTCTTTGATACTATTTTTCTTTAAATGCAAAATGAAGTAATTAGTGATGATTTCTAAATTCTATTCTTAATATAACAGTCTGGTTCTGAAGCAGTTAGTAATATACCTATTATTGGTCTCTTTTTATTTCCATTTGTAGAGCCCTTTAACCTATTGTCTTGGAAGAGGAATTAGGTGAAAAGTAGGGAAGAGGGGAATACTGAAAAATGAAACCAAAGAACTAGTGACTTTAGTCAGCCTTCAACCTTCAACCATCTTGCTTTTACACGCTGAATATGGAATCACAAAATCAGGATGGAAGCCTGAAGTCAAGCAGCAGGGAAGGTTAAGAAGAAGATGCACAGAGGCGGAGCACGGTGGCTCATGCCTGCAATCCCAGCACTTTGGGAGGCTGAAGCAGGAGGATCACCTGAGGTCGGGAGTTCAAGACCGGCCTGGCCAACATGGTGAACCCCCCGTCTCTACAAAAATACAAAAATTATCCTGGCACAATGGTGGGTTCCTGTAATCCCAGCTACTTGAGAGGGTGAGGCAGGAGAATCGCCTGAACCCACGAGGTGGAGGTTGCAGTGAGCCGAGCTCGCACCACTGCACTCCAGCCTGGGTGACAAAGTGAGACTCTGTCTCAAAAAAAAAAAAAAAAGAAGAAGAAGACGACGATGCACAGAATGTAGAACTGTGGGCTCTAACTACAGACTTATTTCAAATTTCAAGACATCGTTCCTTACTATTGATATTATTCGCTTTCTAGAAACATGCCATGACCTTTTTTTTTTTTTTTTTTTTAAATCAAGCTCCTAGTTTCAACGACTCATCAGATTACATTCTCCATAAATGATCCTTTGTGGATGTGGATTTTCTAGAGGGAGGTTGTGGCCAGAGGGGCTACTACTTACAGATTTGGGTCTGGAGCATGTTCTTCTCCATTCATTCTCAACAATGCCAGCTATTACAAGTTCCTGGAAGAAGGCAAAGATCAGCATCACTGACAAAATGCCCTGAAAAACAACAGAAGAATGAAGGTGAAAATGTAATAATGACACAAAGAACATTGTTGATGTTCAATAAGTTATTGTGGACTATAATTGAATGATTAAGAGGTCAATTCTTTAGACAAGTAATGACTAGCTGTGAGAACTGCTAGTACAGGAGACAGCGTCTTTATAACCCTAACTCTAAACACATCTTTCAGCATCTTTCAGCACACAACAGATGGTTAATGTGTATTGCTGATAGAAAGTAAGGTATGAATAATCAGTTGAAGAATCAATTCTATATAGGAAAGAATAAGTAATGAGTCTCAAATTAAATTGCATTCAGTCTTAGTTGGTATGGCATCATGCCGAGGAGACCTCTTCATCCTTGGGATATGCATTTTTAAAAAAATCTCTTTCAAACTCTATGTTTAAAAGTCCTTGGGCAAAAGATATTCATAACATCTTAGGTATTTCTTCTGTGCTCATCTTAGTCAATATAATGATAAATGTTAATGCCACTAATGATGTTAACAATAATTAATGTTAAAGCCAATGCTTATGTAGCACTTCTAGGTACCAAACACTGTTCTAAATGTTTTGTATATATTAACTTACTTACTACTCAGAACAACCCTATTAGATAAATAGTGTTACCATCCCCATTTTACAGTTGAAGAAGTTGAGGCAGAGTGTGGTTAAAATTCTTGCCCACAGCTACATAGACAATAACTAGCAAACTCAGGTGGTCTGGATGAATCCAGAATTCATGATCTTAGTAAACCAGTCATCCTTCCGCCCTGGAGAGCAATCCAGTTTCACACTTACCAGGAACAGAGATTGTATGCTGTAACAGTATTGAGTAGATGGAGAGTTTTTCTCAGAGGGATTAGCTGGTTCACAGTTGTATATGTTAATATATGGTGTGTGAACTCTAATAAAATTCAGACTCTCCATTTTTAAAAAATGGGAAATTTTAATATTAAGTATGTCCATGATTGAAAGAATCATTCCAGAAATGGCAGCAAAGAGGCTCAATGAATTCATTATCATTTTTCCTTTGACCTGAAATGGAGACACAGATTATTAATTGGGTTTGATTTCCCTTTGGAAAACATAGTCTGGGAGGGAATTCCAAATGCTACTCCCCTGACTCACAAAGCAACTACAACTAAATATACTGAAGTTCTCTTGGTTGTTTTTAACGTCCTTGTCTCTATAAAATAAAATCATGTCTCTATCCTGTTCTTTTCTCAGTCTTCCCTATCTCATTCACCATCCATCTGTTTTACAAAGCAAAATTTCTAAGAGTAACCCTTGATTCTATATCTTGTATCCTTGCACTTCCTTCACTGCCACTGCCACCATCCTAATAGGCATTCAATAAATATTTGTTGAATAGGTGAAGATAAATATTATCCAGTTTATTATATGCCTTCATAAATAGGTAGAGGGAAGAGAGAGAAGACGGTTCTTGTATCACACTTTAGTGGGATGGTATTGTGAAGTCTAGGTTGGGAAGGTTCAACTAGAACCCTCTAGATCTGTACTATCAAATAAATGGAAATTAGAAGAGCAGAAGCAACAACAGTAACACCACCTATCCCTGCTGCCATGGGCTGCGATCAGCCCCAGTTAGCTATCTTCCAAAATACAATTAGGGCTGATGTCTCTGGGTAGCATAAGTGCAAGAACATCAGTGTGAACGTTCTACCTTGCAAAGATGATAAAAGGTTGAAACAGGAAAATATAAGTAACAAGTACCATAATGATATGGGATTATTGATTATTATTTTATGCTGCACATATTTCATTCCTGGCTCTACGACCTACACATGGCAAGTCAGTAGGTCTGGCTGTATCTGGAGAATAATTTGATGTCGTAAAACGTTTTTCCCCCAAAACTGAGTTTTTCAGGCCACTTTAAGAGAGGAACCATCTCAATCCCCCCATTCCCTTGTTGATTATGAAAGTGACTCAGTTTAGTAAGAGACAGTGTTGGGGGTGGAATTTTTTGGGAGCAAACTTGCTGGTAAACTTTTTTCATCCATACAGCATCAGCATCTCTGCAGGCCAGTTTCCTCTGGATGTGGATGAGTCGCTAGGGGTTTTATGGGCAAGACCGCAGTGTAGCACCGTATAGCCTCTGAAGCACCATCACACACTCTACTGCCTTTCATCTCCATTGTGACATCACATGGTAGCAAGGACTGTTACCCTTCCTTTCTAGGTGAAAACTCAGAGGTACATAGAGGTAAACTGACTTGTTCAATGTTATGGCCAAAAAATAGCTTAGCTAGAATTTGAATCAATCATGACATTGATCAGATACTTTTCCTAAAGGGTGATCAGGGAGAAATGATAGGACTTTCAGAAAGGTCTATTATTTTCACACAGCATTTAACATTCATAAGATTGTAGGGTATGGTTTTCATGGATCTGCTTTTAGTTCTGTTCCCATGAACATACTTCAGATAGACCTCACTTCTAAGTTTTTCATGAATAAAATCACAAGAACATTGTGGAGGGTCTTTGCTTTTTAGGGCTGAGAGGCTGTGATACCTTGGCTTTTTAAGGGCCTCAGTATTTAACCGAAAAAATAGGTACTTCTCTGACACGTGGGAAAGAAGGACATATGGTTACTTGCCAAACACTTCCTGGAGTTTTTCTCCGTTGCTGCCAGGAGTGATCCGGAAATAATATACTGTAAAAAAGAGAGGTGGGGGAGGTGGAGAGGGGTGGGCAAGGCAGGAGAAAGAGGAGAGAGGAAGATCACTTTTTAACATTGATAACTGGTCAGAAAGAAGCCTACACTTTCAGCAACTTTCACACAACCATCCACCCATTTTTGTCACTTTTATTCATTTTTCGGCCGTCATAGTTCTCCTTTATTCAGGCTCAGTGACACTAAATTCATGCCTTTTACTCAATCATCTGGGGATCTGTGACTAGGAATATAATAAGACCAAAGAGACAGAATTCCTATTTCCTCATCAATTAATACTCATACCATGAATTTAAAAGTTTTATTTTTAGTTTTTCTTTGTTTTTAACTTGTGGAACTGCCCTTTGGGGGTTCACAGTGACATAAATGACTCTGATGACCTCTGAAGAGTGAATTGATACAGAAAGAAATACTTGACCTGAACGGCACAGGCACTCTATTAAAACACTGGCTGTTACAGGAAGTGATGATGACTATTTTTCATCTTCCTTTTCTCACGTTCAGGCTGTAGAATGGAGGAAACTCTTGTTCTAACCCATCTCTACTTGTTTGGAAAATTTTAGCCTGGACTTATAGTGGCAACTATGAAAAGTGTCATGGGGAAATAAACATCACTGTCCTACGTGCCACACCCAGACAGGGTTACAGATTTGGAAAACATGTACATAAAACAGCCAAAAGAGTGCTGCTCTGTTGATAAGCAAAATAAGACTGATTTGTGATGGGACAAATTTCACCAGGTACCATAGCAACTAAACAGAATTGTAAGCAAGAAGGAGTAGATGGGAAGAAGTGGATGCTCCTGCTCCCTCTTGCTTTCCAAAACATCTTGCTATCTAGTCTAAAAGTCTAGGGCCACCCTCCCCACCAGAATTGACTTTGGAGTGTTCTTGCTTTGGACAGTCCCTGTGAGATCCATGCAGGGCCCCCTTCTCTGAATTCACATGAAACCGGAACACTGACTCTCAACCATGGGATTTATACTCAATTTGGTCAACCTGTCTTCTTAATTAGTTTAACCCAAAAATATTTCCCTCAACACAGAAATAGTCTGGCATATCCCTGTGGAGCCTTTTAACATTTTTGTCTGCCTCATTTCCCAAATGGCTGCTATTCTTTTACTCACCATAATGCCTCCCCACAGAGGGTACCACACAGTCACACAGATGGGTGCATAGATCCCTGCTGGGATCATCAGAAGACCCCCCAGGGCAATGTGGAAGAGCCCATTCATAATCTGGACAGCCTGGGGAGAGAACAGAGGCAGCAATGGATGAGCCGAAATCATCACTGCTAGCAGGCAAAGACGAGGTTGGAAGCCCTGACTCCTGACTTGGAGCTGTGAGGAATGCCTAAAGGAAGCAGTGGAGGTGCCAAGAATTTTGTCTTTTTCTTGTTCAAATCTGTTTCCTCAACCACATGGGTTATTTCCAGGGAGCAGGTATACCTGGGATTCTGGCAATGGACTGGGACGGGGGACCCCTGAATATACAAACCCCAAAACCAAAAGGTGACATAAGATCACCCAGAGGTTATCTAGGCGGTGACTTATCTGATGCACCTGATTTGGCCCGCTGTGTTAGACATAAAGAACACATCAGGTTGGATCCCAATTCTTCAAGTTGGATTGAATTCTGTATGTGGCCTACAGCATCAGCTTCTGTCAGCCAGAAAATCCCCATGACTTGGGATGGAAGGCAACGGACTTACCCCCAAAGCCTTAGATTCCCTCATGAAGAAGCTTTGCGTGGGACCCACCAGTGAAGACATCCTCCCGAGGAGTGGTTTTGGACCAGGTTGCATAGCAATAGGGCCTTTCATTGGCTCTGCTGGGAAAGTCCCATTTACTGAATTTCTGGGTGTTGTCATTTTGCTCTCAAAACTCCTAAAAATAAAACAAATAACAAAGTGAGGAGAGCAAGAACAAGATTTTTGGCAATCTTACCTTGTGTCATGCATCTGAATGCTTCTCTCAGCATTTCCTCTATGAGTGTCATTGAGGGTAGACATGGCCTCTTCTGTGTGACCTTGGATCTTAAGCAAGGCCTACTCCTGAGTTCTGAGAAAGGAGATGGAGGGGTTGTTTAGGAAGAGCATGTGGGCCCAGGAGTCCCTGCCAGTGATCTTGGCAACTGGGTTTGGGGCATACTTTATCTTTGTAGAGAACACCTTGCATATATGACTGCATGTCCTCTTTGTTTCTTATTCCTGGATGCTTTTCTTGTGCTTTAATATTGGAAAATGTATTTTCAATGGACTTGTCCTTGTCCTTTTGCTTATCTGCCTTTGTGCATTATGATGGGCCAGAGGGCAACATTGCAGAGTACGGTGAGGACTATCTGTAGAAGCAGGAGAGGTCGATTCCAGGCCTCCTTCTATCTCTAACTCTGCCACCTTGTGCAAGTCACATCAAGAAGGCTCTCTAGGTCGGGCATGGTGGCTTGCGCCTGTAATCCCAGCACTTTGGGAGGCCAAGGCAGGCGGATCACCTGAGGTCAGGAGTTTGAGACCAACCTGGCTAACATGGCAAAACCCCATCTCTACTACAAATACAAAAATTAGCCAGGTGTGTTGGTGTGCACTTGTAATCCCAGCTACTCAGGAGGCTAAGGCAGGTGTATTGCTTGAACCCAGGAGGCAGAGGTTGCAGTTAGCTGAGATCATGCCACTGCATTACAGCCCGGGCAACAGAGCCAGACTCTATCTCAAAGAAAAAAAAAAAAAGGCTCTATAGGGCTTTCTAATGCGGTATGTAAGACTGTGGCCTCCTGAGTCGGATTGCCTAGGTTTCAATAGTGATTCCTCTATTTGTTCTGATGTATTGGGCAAGTTCTTTAAATTCTCTGGGCCTCAGGTTCAACTGTAAAATGGAAGTAATAATAATTCTTATCTCATGGGCTGCTATAACACTTAACTGGGCTCATGGTCTGTGCATGGCTAGTGTCTTTTGGTTCAGGTGTAGCTCAAATGTCAGCTCCTAGAGGAGCCTACCTTGAACCCTCAACCTATAACACGTACTCCTATTTGCTGTCTTTTACAAAATCCTATCTTATTTGCTTTACGGCATTGATCACTGTAGGAAATTACCTTATTTATTTATTTGCTTTTTATCTATCTCTTCCCCCACAGAATGGAAGTGCCATCAAAGTTGAGATTTTGTTCTCTCTTGTTCAGTATCTAAAATAATTCTTGGATTTAGTTACTTCTTAATAAATATTATCGAAGAAATGAATGTATGCAAAGAACCCATGTTGGAATAAATAGTTATTTTTGTTGCTATTCTTATTCTTCTTTGTACTTTACTGAGCATTAGCTTCTATTTTATCCTTCTGTAAAATGAGAACAGAACCCCTCTCTGAGATGTAAGACATAAATAAGTTAACATATGTAATTGTGCCTAGGACAGACGGAGAGAGTAGTAAATGCTACTTATCAGTTTTCATGATTTATTCATTTCTGAAGTGAGAAGGCAATTAATAACGCCCTTTCCAGCTCAGATATTTTAAGATTCTGTTCAATCTTCATCTTGGGTTTCCTTAGTATTCAGTTGTTTATGTTAAGCGCTTATGTGGACTTGATTGGGTCTTTCCTGGAATCTGAAAATCCCTCTTTTGAGGACACATCGTTGCTCTTGTCTTTACTGATTGTAAGTCACATAAGATGTATTGGAAATCAAGACTATCTATTCAGGTGACATATCTTACTGAAGCCAGCGCCACATCCCAGCCATTAGACCACAGGCTGAAGTATATCTTACTGAAGTCAATCAGAGCTGAGTAGCTGCAGATGTGATGTAAAACAGGCAGCTGACTACTGTCACTCACATTTATACCTACTTTACAGCTAGAAGCAAATTTGATTCATGGCATCTCATCTGAGTCTTATAGACTCAGTCTTATAGAATAGGCAAGGAGTGAATCATCACCTGCGTTTTATAGAAGAGGAAACAAGGGCACGGAGAAGTTAGGTTACTTGTTCCAAGTTACAAAATTAGTAAATATTTATTTGTTTGTTTGTTTGTTTTCATGACAGGGCCTCTCTCTGTCGCCTAGGCTGCAGTGCAGCGGCATGATCACAGCTCATTGCAGCCTCTATCTCCTGGGCTCAGGGGATCCTTCTGCCTCAGCCTCTGGAGTAGCTGGGACCACAGGCAACCACCGCCATACTCAGCTAATTTTTATATGTTTTTTAGAGATGGGGTCTTTCCATGTTGCCCAGGCTGGTCTTGAACTCCTGGACTCAAGCAATCTGCCCGCCTCCACCTCCCAAAGTGCTAGGATTACAACCGTGAGCCACCACGCCCAGATAAATCTTCATCATAAAGATTTAAAATGAAGACTTGGATCTCTCAAATGAGGCGTCCAGGGTACCAGGCTGCTTTGTCTTCTGTGAGAAAGAGGAATTCAGCCTTTCCCTTATGAACCCCTCTTTTCTCCTTCCAGTATATGCACTATTTGAATAACTATAAATCGATTGAAAATTATTATCTGTCTGGTGCATGGGCTAGGGGGAAGAGAAGAAACTTTGGTTGTTTCTCACTTGATTTTGCCCCTGCCCTAGATAGCCAGATGCCACACGATCCCGGGGATCTGCTTTGACCTCTAACAAAAAGGAATATTTCAATATAGCCCACTAAAGAGTTTGCATACTGGTCACTAGGTAGGATTTCTAGAGCTAGTCCAAACCTCAGAAACCATTCTGTTCATTTCACAAATGAGGAAACTGCAGTCTGGGTATAGAATGTGCCTTGTAAAGACCTCACAGTTAGTAGCAGAGCCAAGCTAGAAGGCAGTCACCATGGCTCTGACATTGATGCTTTTTCTGCTGTACCATAGGCTAGTCCAGATAATTATAGTTGTTTACTGAGCACCGACTGCATACTAGGGATATCGTATATGGTATTGCCAACTCACTCAACACCTTCATAAGTAGGCATTTTGACTACTTTCTGCAGATGAGAAAATGGAGGTTCAGACCTCTGAAGGTCGTATGGCAAGTATAGAATAAGCTGGGAGTCACTACACTCCGCCCTAGGGGGTAACTTTAGTGAAGATTACTTAAAGTGCAAAGGTCATCAATTGTTTGAACTAAAGGAGATGATTGGACTACCGTTGTTTTAATTTCTTTTTATTAATCAACTGCTTGATTAAAGCTGTGTCTGTATTGTTGGTGAGAGAAACCTTTTTTGTAAGCCTATTCTACTTGGGCTGTGCCTGTTGTGACTAATGGCAATAATGACCACAAGAGCTGTGTGTGTGTGTGTGTGTTTATGTGTGTGTGTGTGTTTATGTGTGTGTGTGTGTGAGATATTTTATTTCTCTGTTAAAATGGTATCTCACGATGGTAGCTATATTTCTACAAGACTTAAATATTTGTATAAAATAGTTTATAAACAAACACATAAGTTCTTTCTCTGTTTTTTGTTTTTTGTGGAAACTATCTCTCTGTCATATATATATGAGATGAGATATATATTGAGAGATATATATCTCATATATATGAGATGAGATATATATCTATCATATATGTGAGATGAGATATATATATATATATCTCATATATATGAGAGGTAAATATATTAATTGATTTATGGCATTGTGGGCTGACTCTGTAATGAAAAACTTTCGTTCCATGAGAATTAATAAATACATAAAACTAGCCCACATACTCCTATGGAGATTGTAGATTCTCACAGTTTTGCCTTATCATTAAAATAAATTGTTCACAATTGTTCACAATGACTTAGTGCCCAATGCACAGCTATGCTCAAAGACTAGTTGGTAGATTAGTAGGGGTTATGGACCACATTAGCCAAAATAGGATAACAATAAAATTTTACATTTGCTGGTGTCCAAATCAGCATGAATGTTAAAATCAAGACTCAGGTGATCAGTCAGTACCCCATTTAATTACTCACACTAACTCCTGCAAATATTTTTTTATTTTTATTTAATTTTATTTATTTATTTATTTATTTTTGAGATGGAGTCTCGCTCTGTCACCCAGGCTGGAGTGCAGTCGTGCGATCTGGCCTCACTGCAACCTCCGCCTCCTGGGTTCACGCCATCCTCCTGCCTCAGCCTCCCGAGTGGCTGGGACTACAGGTGCCCACCACTACGCCCGGCTAATGTTTTGTATTTTTAATAGAGATGGAGTTTCACCGTGTTAATCAGGATGGTCTTGATCTGCTGACCTTGTGATCCGCCCACCTTGGCTTCCCAAAGTGCTGAGATTACAAGCGTGAGCCACTGCGCCAGGCCTGTTTTTTTATTTTTAAAGGCACCCCTGTTTTCATGTCCATCCACTGAAGAAGATCTCACAGCCTTTATGAGTTTTGGTTTGAATAGACTTTTAAGTCCACTCGCACCATCATATACTGAGAAATTTAAAACTGCCTCACTTTTTTTTTTTTTTTTTGAGACAGAGTCTAGCTCTGTTGCCCAGACTGGACTGCAGTGAGGCGATCTTGGCTCCCTGCAAGTTCCGCCTCCCAGGTTCACATCATTCTCCTGCCTCAGCCTCCCAAGTAGCTAGGACTACAGGCGGCCACCACCACGCCTGACTAATTTTTTGTATTTTTAGTAGAGACAGGGTTTCACCATGTTAGCCAGGATGGTCTCGATCTCCTGACCTCGGGATCCACCCGCCTCAGCCTCCCAAAGTGCTGGGATTACAGGCGTGAGCCACCACACTCGGCCTAAAACTACCTCACTTTTGTTACCTCACCTTCATTCTTTTCCACTCATAATTGCTTTGCATTTTTATTCCTTCTGGCCTCCTGTGCACTTATCTCCGAGGAAGAATGCTCTTGCTTCCCTTCCCTCAGTGCTTTTCAGCCCATCTCAGTCCAACCAAGCTGTTAGCCCTTCCAAGAAATTATTTCTGCTTTGTACCTTCACTCTCCCAATTTCTGGCAATATGTAGCAGTCAGTTAATCTCAGCTCTCTTGCTTGCTCCTCTTGTGGTCTCTGTAAGTTTAGGGTAATAGTTGCCTTCCCCATTTCAAAGTATCATTTTGAGAAAATGAGATAATTTGCATTTGCTAAGGTGCTAAATACTCCTTTAATGACTAAAATGTACTGCGGTGCCCCTGAATCCCAAAGCCTTCTTCTTTTAATCTAGCAATGTTCTTGGCCACTGCCCCAGGCTCCCTTTTTCTTCACCGCAGCTTCTTCAAAGCTTTGCTACACACTCTCTTCCCCTACCTCCTCTCCACCCACTCACTTCTCAATGCTTCGCAACCAGTTTCCGCTGGTCACTGAAACTGAAACTTATCTTTGAGGACTGTGCTGTAAAGTCAGTGGTCTTTCCTCAGGCCTCATGTCTCAGATTGTTTTATTTGTTTCTCCTGCCACCAAGGTTTAGATAGTTGGGACCATATTTCACTTTAGCTCCATCATCTCTCAGTCCATCTTCATCTTGGCTATTGGTCAGTCAGTGGCCAAGTCATACCATTTCTACCTATGCAACACATTTTGCATGTGGGTCTCTTTTCTATATCCAGAGTAACCTGTGAGTTTCTCATTTCCATTCATGCTTTTCTGCCTTCAGTCTTTCTCTTTTCCAATCCATTGTCCACAAGGCCGCTACATCAAGCTCCCAGTCACTGCTTTGAGTGATGCTCTTCCTGAGCCTGAACTCCTTTGCTGGCCTGTCATTACCTGCTGGCGAAACCCTTCATCTGACCCCTCCAGGCCTTTGGAATTCAGCCGTGTATGACTTCCCAAGCTCATAGCCCACTCTCGCCACCAGAGCCACCGGTCTACACATGTCCTCTACCTTCTTTCTTGAACCTTCTCAACTTTGAAGTGTTCCTTCTCCTTCCCTCTTTGCTTTCAATCAGACTCTGCATTAGATATGCTCATCACCTGAGGGCGTTCCTGCTCTCCTTGCCTGTTTGCAAGGAATTCTTCAGAGCTCCTAGCTCTTTGCTTTCCTTACTAGACACCAACTACTTTCTTCGGAGAATCCTGTGTCCTACTAGACTTGCAGAGGGAACCTGTTTTCTATGTCCTATGAGTTCAGTAATGTTAAACTGAACATCAAACTCAGCTACTTCCTCAGGGAAGCTTTACAAATGCTCACAATGGCCAGGCACAGTGGCTTACGCCTGTAATCCCAGCACTTTGGGAAGCTGAGGCAGTCGAATACCCTGAGGTCGGGAGCTAGAGACCAGCCTGACCAACATGGAGAAACTTTGTCTCCACTAAAACACAAACAAACAAACAAAACGCACACACACAAATGCTCACAATGCTGGATTAAACATTTCTTTCCACCAGATTCTCAGTGAGACTAAGCCATTTTATGGGAAACAGGGAGTCACTTATATACTGGATTCAGAAAACAGTAATAGCATGATTAAAATTAATCCTTGTTTTCCTTCATTAGAACTACCTCCCACCTGCAGTGGCCCCTCTCGCTCTTGGTTTTCCATGTGATAGATTTGAGGCAGGATTTCGTGCTCAACTTGATGTCCACAAATCCCCTCCAGAAAATGTTAGCCTGTAAAGCCACCTGTACTTCTAGGTATATTTACATTTAATGTAGACAAAAGCATTTAAAGGAAGAGGAATGGAGTTTTTTTTCATTATGGCTATGACTGTTTATTTTCTCATTTGGTATTGGGAAGTCCTAAGGGATGCAGGATTTTAGTTCTAATTTTCACAATACAGTGGGTATTACCATTGACCCCATTTTATAGATGAGGAAGTTGAGCCTTTAGAGGTTTAGCAATTTGCCCAAGGTTATATGGCTTGTAAGTGGTAGAGCTCCAGTTTGAACCCAATGGTTTAGAAACCATGATTTAATCTCTATGCTGCAATCTACTACTTTTGTGGAATGATTTCACAGTTGACTGCGTAGGGTAATTGTTGAGAGGGAGAGTGGTTAGAGGAGTGAGTGGGCAGCAAGCCTTGTTATCATCACCCCTCCTTAAGTAATAGAACTTTTAGGAAGTCTGACTAGGGAAACTCTAGAATTAAGAACAAGAACCTCCAGTTTTCAAAACCATTCTATACCTTATCCATCACCTCCTTTAAGTCATGTAAAGAAAACAAATTGATGCCTTACCTGAGTCTCCAAGGCCTCAAATCTCAAGGGCTGATTTGGATGCTGGCTGCAGAGTTCAGTGGGTGCAGCTAGTTTCTCAAGCACACTGGGAGGGTGAGTGAGGTAGTCCAGGCCTGAGGATGAAATCGCTGATAGATACCAGGTGACAGGAAATCAGTAGCTTCCGCTACCTTGGGCTTCGCTCCAATTACTTTGGTTTAACACTTACCATAGCTGAAGGTGGTGCAGAAAAAGTTTCTGCCTTACCAGGTTTCACTTCTTGAAAAAGACCCCAGGGGACTGCCTGGCATGCTCATGTGACCTTAATTAGAAGAACTTCTGCAGCCCCCACCCTATAAGCAGGTGTGGATGGCGGGTCCCTAAGGACAAGAAAGAGTCTAGAAGTTGGCCAAAGATGGACTGTTAGCACTGGATTTCACCTTCTTGCTTCACTTTTAGGGCTGAGTAGGTGGGGAGGAGGCATCCATGCAGAGATTCAAGAATCACTGAGGCTGTACACTTGGGAGCACTATACTTAGGGGTCCTCAGATATTGTCCTCATTTGCTCACACTTAGGTTTCTAATGAACCATGTATATATCTTGTGTCAGATTTAGCAGAAATGGCCTAAAAGTATACTTCAGTGCTGTAGTACATGTACCCAGCCACTCAAAGCAAGAATTAGCCTCCATATTTGGAGATGTAAATTGAAATAGCACTTTCACCTCTGAACCCACCTTTTTCTTCCATCTGTCAAGTTCCCTTGTGTCCCCTCTCTTTTTAGTCTAGTCTGGAGCCGCAGGGTCATCAAGCCCAGTGCTAAATCAAGTAGGGAAATGGAAGAAGTTGGTGGTGTCAGGAGAGTCTAAATATTTGGGATGTGAATCAGAGTTTTGCCCAAAGATATTGTCCTCTCTCTCCCCCTACAGTATTCAACTTTTATGTTCATATGTGGGATTTTTAATTACATTTTTATTTTCTTGTTCATTGCTTCATTTTATTAGAGATACAGAGCTATAGTTAGGTAATTATTTGTTCGTTTAATCTAAAAGGATGAAATATGGTAGGCAGCTCTGTTGCCTAATTCGAGGTTCATTCCTGTCTCTCTTTTTCATCTCTTCTCTCTTTCTCTTTCTGCCTCTCTTTTTAAATTTAAAATAGTTTGGAACCATAGGATTAGATCCACTGGGAAGAAGTAGTTCTGATTGTGGTGTGATATTTAAAAGATGCCACTGTAAAAAAAAATCATTGGAGCGGTTCATTAGGGGAACTGGCTACCATTTGAATAGAGAATTTACTTCTTCAAGAATACTCAAAAAGCCATGCAGTCACCTCTCAGAAATGCTGTAGAGTGAAGGAGAGTGGGAACAGAAGATCCATCATCCATTTAACATTCTAATTGAGGGTCTATGCATATCTGCTGAAATGCTTGAGTGGTTGGTGATGGGAGGACAGTTACCTAGGGTCTGAGTTGTGGATGATTTGAAGTTTGAGTCCTGGATGGGTGGGGTGATTAGAGGCATGTGCCTTCATTTTAGTTGGCATGGGAACAGGGTCAGGACTTGGCAAATGTATGGCAGCCAAGGGACTTGAGTTGTGGCTGCACAACCTGGTCTTTTGCCTCCTTTTCTCTGTTTGAGCCCTGTATTTCCCCAGTCAGTCTCAGGTTGTTTGCTACTTTGTGGCCAGCAAGATAACCTAGGTGGCTCTATGTATGATTCTTCCCAAATAAACTTGAACTTGAATTTGTATAAATACATAAACATTTACTTGTCTTTGCTGATTTGAATGATCAACATTTTAGTGCCTGAGTGTGTTGAAATTCTCACTACAATTTGGATTTGTCAGTAGCACCTTGTTTGGTGTATCACCATCACTCTTCCCCCAAGGCGTGAGAATATTTTATTAGGTTGATAACATATGTAAAATATTTCTCTTTGAATTAAGCCTATTTTCATTATCTAGTAACCTTGCTTCCAAAAGACAATCTTAAAGTCTACATAAAAGTGTGCCAACTTTTATTCAGTTCGTATTTTCCTGACGTGAATTTCCTTTTTACTCTCTGCACGTCCTAGCACTCCAATTTTTTTCATCATTTCCCTCTGTGTGAAAACTGTATGCTACATCATAATTATTTGTGTCCTTGTCTTAATCAGCCATTGTCTCCTTGTCCCTTGAAAGCAGCGTCAGTTTTTGGGATTGCCGTGTCCCTGGCAATCCTGAGAAAGAATAGTTCTGTTTGGCTGTTTCTTTCATCCAGGCGATTGTCCCCAGGCTCTCCAACATTAAGAAGTAACATTATGCCATGTTCCCAACTGCTCTGCAAGGCCCTGGCACCCAGAATTATCTGCTGTTGGAGGGTTTTGGTGTCAGAGAATTGGTAAAGGAGACATAGGGCTCGTCAGAGGTGAGACTAAAGATCTAATTGCAAATAGGACTTGGTTACAGGTCAGAAAATCCCATTGCTGCACTTGTAAATAATTCATACTAAGGAAAATGTAAATTGAAGTACTTAAGAACTTTATAGTTTACAGGGTCTTCTTTCTATTTTAAGGGACTGCTTTACATTTGGAACAGCTAGGAAGGTATTATTAATTAAATAATTACTTTTATGTCAAGAATTGTCCACATATAAACCTTACCCCACATATAATATTGATTCTGTTTTATAATTGTGGAAACTAAAGTTCAGGAAATGGAGGAAGCCATTCCCAAGTTGCAAAGCTGGTAAATGGTAAAATAAGTGATGTTTAGAGCAAGAAAATCTCAATGATAAATTTTAAAAGCTACCATTTACTAAGTGATTTTTAAGTTCCAGGCACTGATAAACTCACTTTCCACGTTTCATTGAAGGTTCACAGTAAACCCATTAGGTAGGTATTACGATTATTGAATTCTAGTATAAAAATTTTAAGCCCACAAAGATTAATTTGTTCAAGTGACACAGCTTTAAATGGCAAAACATTTATTATTATTCGTTTTAAGATATAAAAATGTCTGATGTACTCCCATGTGCAGATTACTGGATCACTCCCTTTGCTTTTGTGATGTGGGAATATAGCTGAAGAAAAAAATGCAATTATATGACCTCATAGTTATTGAAAAGAGTTTTTTTTCTCTCATGTACCAATAAATATGCTATCATTGGAGACTGATATGTAACAGTAACATTTTTCTGCAGGTGTTGACTACAAAAATATCATTATGTAATAAACAATTTAATGAAAACAAGATGTTTTGCTCTCTCAATTGTATTTCTCAAAAAATTAAATAATATGTATGAAAAATTACTTGTAACAGTGGGACAAAAAACCATGTACCCACAGCCATGATTAGAGATACAAGAGTGTCGCTGATACCTTTGAAGGCTCTGGTGTTATCCTTCCCCAAGTCACCCTCTTTATCAGAGCTCATCATTATGCTGAATTTGGTGTTTATCACTCTCTTCCTTTTCATTATATTTTGTCTTTCCACATATGTTTATATTTCACACGACATATTGCTTAGTTTTTGTGTTTTGTAATCATTATTTAGGTAGAATTAATAAGATGTTCTTTTTGTGACTTGCTTTTTTTGCTCAACATTAAATGTGTAAAATTCATCTTTGTTGATTTGCTTTGAGTAATTTATTTTTAGCAATTTGTGGTCCTCCAGGAGGGAATGTGGTACAATTGATCTGTTCTCTGTCCGTGGACATTTGAGGTATTGCAGACAATCCTGCTCTGGAAACATTTGTACATGTCGTGTGTTGCACACATATAAGAATTTCTCTTGTATATATTAACTAGCAGTGGAATTGTTGGGTGATAAAGCATGTGTATCTTTATCTTTACTAGGGAATTAGTTTTTAAAGTGGTTGTCTTCATTTACACTCATACCATCGTGGTAGGAGAGTTCCTTTCATTCCACAATTACTTAAGAAATTGAATGCTTTTCATATATTAACTTTTGTTTTCTTCTCCTGTGAAATGGCTGTGCATGGCGTTGGACTAAGTTCTCATCAAGTTGTATTTTTCTATTAATGTATAGGAGGATTTTACATATTCTATATCTCGTTAATTTTGTTGGTTATTTCTGTTGCTAAAAGGCTTTGATTTGTAGCTGCTCTTGTCACACTTGTGTAACATTCTTAATAACGATTAAGTGGGTTGTATCAGTTCCTATTGGTACTATTCATGTTCTGGGATCTGTTTAAGAAATTCTTTACTACCTTGATGTTGTAAAGAAGTCTTCTATCTTTATTTCTAATAATTTTAACGTTTCTTCTTTCTTTTGTTTTTTAAATTTTATTTTAGGTTCAGGAATACATGTGCAGATGTGTTATACAGGTAAGTGGCATGTCACGGGGGTTTGATATACAGGTTACTTTGTCACCCAGGTAATAAGCATAGTACCCAATAGTAGTTTTTTGATCCTCACCCTCCTCCCATCCTCCACCCTCAAGTAGGCCCCAGTGCCTGTTGTTCCCTTCTTTGTGTCCATATGTACTCAATGTTTAGCCCCCACTCATAAGTGAGAACACATGCAGTATTTTCTTTTCAGTTCCTGTGTTAGTTTGCTTAAGATGATGGCCTCCAGCTTCATCTATGTTGCTGCAAAGGACATGATCTCATTCTTTTCTATGGCTATGCAGTATTCCATGATGTATATGTACCACATTTTCTTTATCCAGTCTACTGTTGATGGGCATTTAGGTTGATTCCATGTTTTTGCTATTGCAAATAGTGCTGCAGTGAACATACAGGTTCATATGTGTTTATGGTAGAACGATTTATATTCTTTTGGGTATGTACCCAATAATGGGATTGCTGGGTTGAATAGTAATTCTGCTGTGAGTTCTTTAAGAAATTGCCAAACTGCTTTTTTTACAGTGGCAGAACTAATTTACATTCCTCCCCACAGTGTATAAGCATTCTCTTTTCTCCACAACTTGCATCTACTATTTTTTGACTTCAAGACAACATTTAAACCTACTTCTGACTTACAAGCCCAAGACTTTGCACCCTTAAATATATCTCAAGCCTCACACATCTGTACATCATTCAGTTGCCAAGTATTTTTCATCAGAACCTAACTTCACTGGAAGTAAAAAAAGTTACTTATTTTTCCTGCCGTGTTGTATCCCCCACCTTCACACATGCACCTATAACCTAAGCTGCTTCCAGCAAATAGCAGAAATGAAAGCCCGTTACTTAGTTTTTTGAGTCTGCTGAATTTTTTTCTATACCATAAACAACATAGGATTATGGGATTTGAATTTAGGGACCTTGACTCAAATCCTCTTTCTAAATCACACTCCTTTTGTGTTTCAGAAAAGCTAACCACTTTGAGCTTCAATTTTTATGACTATGACAAAAGACATACCTACCCTGAGGACTGTCAGGACAAGTGAGATGATACAGGTAAGACCTCTAATGCTTAGGAGATATTCAGCCAGTGAGAGGCAATACTGTGTAATGTAGTGGTCCTCAAAGTGTGGTCTGGAATTTCCTGGGGTCCTTGAGATGTTTGTAGGTGCTCTCTAAGTTCAAAACTATTTTTATAATGACACTAAGACCTTATTTCTCTTTTCACAACTTTATAGTGGTATACTCCATAGGCTATAGAACATGAGATATCATAACAGATTGAATGCAAAAGCTGTTAAGAGAACCCAGGAAAATAGTCCCTTCCGAACTTTTCTTGGCATTGGAATTAAGACCTTGGATTCTGGATCCAACTGCCTGTTGATATTATGACTCTGCCATTGCAAACTTCATGACGTTGAGCAAATTATTTACCCACTCTGTGCTTCAGTTTCCTTCTCTGTAAAATCGGTA